GGAAAGAAGGGATTGAAAATGCCCCCGTGAGCTCTGATGATCCCAAGCCTTGCTTCATTTGTCAACCCCAGCACGTGTGATCAGAAGTTGAAGTTGTAAGTTTCAAGGGCCTGCCTAGGACAGCGATCCTTAACCTAAGGGGGCCTTACCAAGGCTGGTGAAGCAGCCGATCAGCCAGTATCACCCAGAGGCAAGCTGGCCTCAGGATGACCTGGGGGAGCTTTTCAACTGCACATACACGTGGGTCCCACAGTCAAAGAGCCTCACTCAGTAGGTCTAGAATGGGGCACGGGGCTATGTATTTTTTAAGAGGCACCACAGACGACTGGGATGTGCAGCCAAAGTTAAGAAATACTGCCCTAGACAGAGTCCCACAGCTTTGGAGCTGGAATCTGTCTACTTCAGCAACTCCTGACTCGGCCTTCCACCTTCCATCTCACATTAACCACGTCTTCAAATGCCATCTTAACTTCTATGCCCAGTCACGAGTTCTTGAAGGGTTCCTTGGGTACCCACTCATTTGACACAGCAGCTCATTTTCTTTCCTTGGAAAGCAGCCTATATATAGCCAGAACCAAAGGCAGAAGAATCACCCTGACTCCGGCAAAGGTGGTAGTTTCATTCCTAATTTAAGAGTCATCAAAAATTAGGAACTCCTACCTATTGTCCAAATGGTTGATGTCGGAAAGGTGGGGAGATGTCTTCAACTTTTTGTATTACAAGGCCCTCCATACGGTATTGCACCTTCAGCGCAACTTGATTGAAAAGAGACTCATGAACTTGTGGTTGTGTGGACCCTATGCTAAAATTCCACAGGTGCAAAGCACACAGGCTGCGAACCACTAGGTGTAAAAAAGAGCACACTCGGCCCTCTGTAATCAGGGAGACCTGGGTTCTAAATGCAGTTACACCACTCACACCTGTGTAATCTCTCTGAGATTCTATTTCCTCACTGTAAGCAGGGAGAATAATACACAGCTCACAGGGTTAATTACGAAGATGAAATATGTAAAGCATTTAGTACAGTGTCTGATATTCAGAAGGGAGTCAATAAATGTTCATTCAACCAATGACTAAATTAATGAATTTTTAGATATATTGTTCACAGGTGTTCATATATAAACACAAAGCCAAACATATGTCTTTTAGAGAAGTAATTCCCAGACCATTGGCTGTCATGGAACACTAAAATCTCTAAACATATTTTTGGGATTAATAGGTTTGCCTTTTCTTGCTTTTTTTTTTTTTTGCCTACTAAATATATTAAAATATAATAATGAATGACAGGACAACCATCTATAATAAACATCATTTTTAAAAAGAACATTTTAAACCAAAAAAAGAAAGAACTATATAATTTTATAATAAATAATTAATAAAACATTTCACATTTATGAAAAGTCACTTCACTGTTCCTATTCTTAAACCAGTGAAACTCTGTAACCAACCAATATGAGTCTATGAACCAGCATCTAGGAGCCATTCTCTTAAAGCAGGTTTACCAACCTAAACCCCAGTGCAATTGAGGAAGCTGGCCAAGTTTGCTCCCTGGAACCTAGATGTGAAAAAAAGGAGGGTGGGAGGGGAGAGGGAGAGCACAGAGCCACACCAGCTACTGCCAAGATGTTGGTAAAATGTCTCTGGGAATGTCACTTAGTGGTGTGAGTACAAATAGCTAGCATTTTTTGAGAGCTTACTCTGGGCCAGCCACTGTACTCAGTAATGTATACATATACGTTCATTTAATTCTCACAACCCTAAGAGGTAGTACTGGTATCTGCATTTCACAGTTAAGAAAACTTGTTTAAGATAACGGAGGTATTAAGTTGTGAAACAAGCGTTTGAAACCAGGTAGTCTGGCCTCAGAGCCCTGGCTCAATCACTATGCCACACTGCTCTCAAGATCAATCAGTATGGAACAATGGTTGGTATATACTTAGATACAACCAAAACCAGCAAACAAACAAACAAAAAACCTAGGTCTCTAATATACCCTGAAACACAAAGAAATACTGGAAAATGGCTCCAAATTAAAGGAAAGGAGAGATATGACAACTGAACGCAACACAGGATCTGGGGTTTTATTTTGCTATAAAAGACACAGTGGGGACAACTGGTGAAAGCGAATAAGGTCAGTAGATTAGATAATAATATTGTTATCAGTGTTAAGTTCCTGATTTTTATCACTGCGTTTAGGGAAAACAAGTTAAGGATTTAGGGTTAAGTAAACATGATGAAGGCAATTTACTCTTAAGTAGTTCAGAAAAAATATACACATATGCATGAGGTCAGACACACACACACACACACACACACACGCACGCACGCACACACGCACGAGCACAGGCACAGACAAACATACACATATACACGTAAAAGAAAA